CATCACTATTCAATTAATCCTTAAATAGAAAAAGTTGAAAGTTGACATCCTTAAATAAAAAATGTTAAAAGTTGACATCCTTATTTAGAAACTGACAAAGTTAACATCCTTATTTAAAAAAAATTAAAAATTAACATCCTTATTTAGAAAAAAATTGAAAGTTGACATCCTTATTTAAAAACTGACAAAGTTAACATCCTTAAATAAAAAAAAAGTACAAAGTTGAAATCCTTATTTGCACCTTTACTCGACAACCGAACGTAAGAGTTCTGAGAAGTTAGGGTTGTTTTATTCAGCCAAGATTAAGCGACGCCGTTTCATGGAGTTTTCATTAAATCCTCATCTTGCATACACTGACTCAATCCCTGTCTTCTCATTTTATCAATTTGGTCCTGCAATTCATAATTTCAAAGTCTTAACTCTCGGCAACCAAGTCCAGTTTATTTTATTTCTTTTACCCAATTAATTTTCCATTTTTTCATTGAAGCTTTAAAATCAAATTTATAGAAAATGAATTTTATTTGAAGCTTTGAGTAATAAATACCTAATTAAAATCAAGTTATGACATGATCCACATATATTTAATGACTGAACTAAACATCCTAATATTAATATCAGAACATCTTAATTTTTTTTTCTTTTCTTCCTAACTTTAATAAGATCATGCTCACATTATTAATTATTCTGTGTGCTTGAAGACTCACAAAAGATGATTTATGCCTTCAATTTTTCAATGTCCTAAGTAATACAGATTCATAATCATGTCATGGGAGAGTTACCAAATCCAACAGTATATGAAATTTGAATTGAAATTTCCTATATCTATTAATTAATAAGCTAACAATTAGCAACTTAATGTCTTGTTGACAAGCTTCATAGTTTAAATCTTTAGGCTAATACACAAAAAAAATCAATTTTCTTAAATATATTAAGTTGATATGGGTAATGCACTTTTAAGATCATTGAAGAAGGAATTTGTTTCAACATTCTAACCATTCAAAAAAATAAAAAAGCAACTTAATTATATACATGATACAGCCTTTCACGGTCC